GCCGCGAAACTGCTGCTCTGTTGCTTTTTCCCATCTTCTTCTGACAATGAAAGCCATGCAGGTGGCGTGAGGTTGGCAACGGTATGAAGAGAGTGAGAGGGTGGGAAAAGAGGAGGAGGGAAGAAGCGCGGGCAAGTAGACGGAGTTCTGAAGCGATACAAGATTTGAGAAGGTGTGTAGGGAGAAGAAATGGTGAGAGGCGCCGCACGCCCCGCATATGTGGTTTTATGTTGTTTTCTACTTTTTTAGCATGTGCGCCAGGTGCGGGGTGTGCGGTCCTTTTTTGTTTTCTTCTGTGCTTTTTAGACACTGAGTACCTTGTGTTTTGTGGCATGAACACTGCGCAGTGCGGATGATTGTGAGTGTGCACGTCTCTTTCTGCTCACCCTCTCTCTTTCTTTTGCTTTCTTTTTCTTTTTAGGGTGCAGTAATTTCCCAGCAGTACCGCTGTCTGCGGCGGAAGCTGCGTGACGGGTGCCTGCGGGAGCTTAAGCTTGGGGAGCAAATGTCACTGGCTGCGTGGGGGGCGGCGGCGATTATATCGACTGTGACAGCGGGTTTTGCATCTCTCCCGTGTGTGGTGCTGGCCGTCGCCTGGGGCGCTTGGCCACTGCAGCCGTGTTCGCAACGGTGCCGTGGCATTTTATCATGTTTCGGGAGATGAGTGGGGCGGTTTTATGTGCAGCCAGTTAAAGAGAACAAGAGGGGTTGGCGAAGTGATTTATTATTATTACTATTATTACTTGTGTGCGGCGTTTTTTTTTTTTTTTTTTTTTTTTTTTTTTTTGAATGCTCTTATGAGAGCTTTTTTGTGTGCGTTGTTGTTTCATTCATTCTTTTTTGTATTTTTTTTTTTGTCATTGCTGTGTGTCGGGGTCACGATTGTTGTTGCATTTATTTGTTTTTCGGGAATTTCTCCTGTTTTCATGTTAGATTTTAAATTATTCTTCTTTGTTTTTTATGGCGGAGGCTGTTTGGCGGGATGAAACCGAATGGAAGGGGACATCTTGATTTGATTGTTGGCTCTGATGATTGACGTATTGGATTTGTTTTTTGTGTGTGTTCTCTGTATCATTACTATTTTTTTTTTGTTGTGTGTGTGTGTGTGGGTGGCGCACATTGCACAAACTGTTGCGTTTCTAGTGGTTGCTGTTGATGCCGTTGGTGACGGGTGAGAAGCCATCGAGCAAGTTTCGTGTTGTTCTGGCTCGCAACAGTTTGGGTGATCCCTGCTTGGGAGTCTCCTGTAGAAACTCAGTGCCTCCTGCTGATGGGCCTCAACGCGGTGTGTCGTGTTGCTCCGCCGTCACGGTGAATTCAGCGAGTGTGAAGTCGGACCTCATGCATGCGGCGGACTTTTCCCAGCGAGGACGGTACGGTGGAGCCATTGTGAGGGTAAGCGAGCTGCAGAAGTCCGGTGGCAGGCTGCCAACCGTTTTTTCATCCTGCGAGGAACCGTGCGGCAATGAGGGCAATGTGAAGAGAAAGCCGCCGGCGACAATAGTGTGGCATGCAACGGATATTGCGGATGCCAAAAGGGAAAAGGTGTCTTTTTTGCCCGACGACACTGCTGCGACTACGATACCGGCACAGGACGCAGTGGGCGGCGGGAATGGAGGAAGGCGCATGCCCACCAGGCGCGGTAAAAGGAGGGCCGGTGGCAGGGGTAAAAACAGCCGAACCACACCGCGAAGCAAGATAGAGCGAGTGCGAGAGAAGGGCAATAGTTTGCAGCTAAAACCCAATGGGGAGCCATATGAGCATCGTTGGTCCACTGTGAACGGCCGTCGTCAGCTGCACTACGGCGGTCGCACGTACAAGGGCAGAGCCGCCCACCAGCTTTGGAGTAAAATAAAGACCGCACTCTCATTGAGGGATCCGACTTCTTCACATAGGACTTCCATAGCAAGAAAAATGAAAGTGCCAAAAAGGGAAATTAGGGAACGTGCACGTACTGGATTAGTAGGCGCAGCCGACACCTTTTCAACAAGTTTTGCTGTTAATAATTCTGTGACGACAAATCCCAGGACGTCAATGAGCGCCCCTCCTCCAACTTTGGTCTCTATAGCACGAGCCAAACTGTTTCTTGATGATGACGAGGAACCCCTGCTGAAAACGGGTGCGAGTGCCAATGTGGTATTTGTTTCCGAGGATGATGAAGAGACGGTGATTAGCCCGGAGACCTCGGAAATCTCGAGTTTGACATCTTTTGGATCAGACAATGAAAAACTGGCTGGCAGCGAGGGTATTTTTGGCAGCACGAGCTCGTTCAGCACGGATGATGGATATTGTCCTGGTAGGAATTTCACAATGGCACCCGTGAATAGCCAAGACGTTGGCTCTTCAACGGGAAAGAAGCCACCTGCGCTGGTTGAGCATGAGGGATGGCTGTACCCAGCAGAGTTAGTGCCGGTTTTGTGTGAGCAGAGGTCTGCTGACACGTCTTCTTCTCCCAAAGAGGTTGGGAATGCTGGAACGAGGGGTAACGGCACTACAGGGAGAAGCAGCTGCATGGGATCAGAGGATAACAATTTGGAAATCCGTCCGAAGGTGAAAGGTTTGACTTTCCTTGGTTGGGGTGACTGTGCAGATGTCTCTTTGTCGCTTCACCATCGTCGGGATGACGCGTCTATTACTCCCAGTTCGGCGTACCCCTTGCGCTACGAGGAGATGGATGCATTGGATGACTTTTTGGAAGTAGTTGGAGAGGATTTGTTCGTGGCAGGCGATGAAATTGGAGGTATGCGATTTGCCCCATAACTCTTTGAAATACTCAAAGTGCTCTAAGAAGCCTCAGCTCCCCTTGGATCTTTTTTTGTTGAGATCAGGGAAAATTTGGTCGGGGGATGTTGTTAAATGTTCGACTAAGTAGGGGCTATGGATGTGTCTCTCTTTACGCAACGGAAGTGCCCTACTGGCGAACAAGCCAGATAGAGGGAAATAAAGGGGGTTGTGTGTGTTTGTGTGTGTGTATGCGTGCGAGCATGCTGTGAATAAAACATTTTAGCTTTGATATTTATTTATTTATTGTTTTGTTTTCCTTTCTTTTTTTTTTTTTTTTCTTTTTTTTTTTTTTTTTCTTGTTGCTGTTTTTTGATTACCGCTAGCTGAGATCCTTATGTGATGGCGTTGAAACACCCCAAACGGCAACGACCATTATGCCTGTTTATACGGCGCTTACCGCACGATATCACTGAAGTCAAGCTGAAGGGCATTATTCTTGAGCGAGTTGGTTGTGGTGATGTGGGGGACATGATAGATGTTTCTGTCCTTCGCGGTTGCCCACGCCGTGGTGACCGACCACATGTTCTTTCCACAGCCATCATTGCCTTGTGTCCAGTGCAAGAGGGCGACGACAATGTCGCGAATCGTGTGGTTGAGGTGGTAAAAGAAATCTTTGATGGCCGTGTGGTTTTTGATGGGGGCGACGATGTCCCCGAGGCCATGGCGTCGGTGGTGGAATGGGTGCCGGTGTATTTCGGCATCTCAGCTCCTATCAGGCATGGTGCGGCTGGGAAGAAAACTAAAAATATTGCACCGCTGGAGTGTCGTACTGGCAACGTTGAAGATGATGAGGATTATAAACGCTTCTGCGCAGGATTAGAGAAGGCGGCATGCGAGACACAATCCGAAGAGCGAATGGAAGAGACACAAGAGCTCGGCTGTGAGCCAACACCTGAGGCCGCGCCGAAGTCACTTCTTGTGCAGGAGCTTCTTGCCGAGTGTGGGCATCTGAAGAAAGTGAAGATGATAAAGACGAAAAGAAAGGAGAGAAAGAAGGAAAAGGAGAAGGCAGGGAAAAGGAGGGGGACAACGGCGAAGGAGGCGGCGAAGCACGATAAAAAGGAGTTGCTAAAGAAACCGCCTCGCCAGAGTAAACAGGAAGGAAATGAGGCAGCGGCACCGGAGGAGTTCAAAGCGGAGGGGAAGAAGGTGCGCAGGCTGCGAATAATCAAGGCGGATGAAGGCGGTGAGGCGCTGGCAGATGTTGGCGGCACAAAGAAGGAAATAGGCGTGGACGCAGAGTCAAAGAAGGCACGACGGCGTAAGCGGCAGCGAGAGATGAAAAAAGGGCTGCGACGGAGGGTTAAACAGAGGGATAAGGAGGCACACGTTGCTGCTGAGGCGGAGTCTGATCGGGGCAAAGCGAGCGCGCGTCGCAGGGTGAGAAAAAAGAACCGCCAGAAGGCGGAAGGCGAGAAGGCGGGAGAAGTGAATACTGCCGAATTGTCGAGAAGACATTCAAAAGAGGGAAAAAAACAGGCAGGGGAAAGCGGACAGCAGAAGAAAGAGCAGAGACGAAGAAAAAACAAAATGAGGGCGCGGAATAAACATCGTCCACGGGAGGAGGGAGGGCGGAGTAGCCATGATGCCCCAACAACATGAGCACACACATTCCTGCTGAAAACAGGGGCAGAAATATTGCCATCCCGCAGGGGATCGCTCGGTGGACAAGAGTAAGGAGAGTAATTTGTCTCGGCATTCAGGCTTTACAACCGTTGCAGGAGGAACTAAAAGGACATTGTGGTGAAGGACGCAAGAATAAATCATCGGATTGAGGAAACAGACAGCCACCGCGGTTTATGTTAGACTTTTTTTTTTTCTTTCTTTAAAGCAATGCACGATAAAAACGCCAAGAGAGAAGAGTGCAGGTAAAAATAAGGATCGGTTAGACCCTTTGTGTTGTTATTGTTGCTGTTGGAGGTGGAGGAAGAAGAAGAGGTTTATGGAATGTACTGTTGGTTAAATTAAAACTTTATACTTTGTTTTACTGTACACAGTAAATCTTTACTTGGAGCAATGGGTTTGATACCCGCATATTAAGTGCCACTACTCCCAAATGTCTAAATTGAAATGGATGTTTGTCGGCGACATCGGAGTTTACCGGTTTTGTTGTTTCTTCTTTTTTTTTTTTTTTTTTTTTTTTTTCCGTTGTTGTTGTTGTTGTTTTTTGTAAATAAGAGTGGATTCTTCTGCTACTTGTTTTGAATGGGCTATTACGTTCTCCTTGGCATTGTTGTTTAGCATTTCCTGTTTCTTCCTCTATTCCTTTCTTTAGGTTCCGAATACACACAAACACACACACACACACACACCGATTACATAATTATACATACATTTATGTAAGAGAAGTCAGCGTCATTGTTTAGTTCATTCCTTGTTTTTCCTTTTTCTTCTTCTTTTTTTTTTTTTTTTTTATTATTTTCTCTTGAGCCTTTTTATTTTTGACGTTTTGTGTGGTTTCACGATTCAGCGATGTTTTTCTACCTAATTGGGACAATTGTTATTGCGGCTGTTTTTGCCTGGTTGACAGGCATTCTTGGCTTGAACTCTCACTCACATGCCAAGACGCCGGTGAAGACTACGATAACGGAGACGAAGGTGTCAACAGAGCGAAAAGAAGTCTGCGTTTTATTCGGGAGTCAAACGGGGACGGCGGAGATGTTTGCAAAGACGCTTGTGCGGGAGGGGACACGACTGGGGGTTCCTATAAGAATTTGTGATACGGAGAACTACGAGGGGCACGACCTTGAATACGAGCATCTTGTGATCATTATCTGCTCCACCTACGGCGAGGGAGAACCCACGGACTCGATGAAAGCATTCCACGACTGGTTGATGGATGACAGCCGCACCCCCGATGAGGAGCTGCGAAATGTCAAGTACGCCGTATTCGGCTTGGGCGATCGCCAATACCGTTACTTCTGTGAGGAGGGCATTGTGGTGGATCGTCGCATGGCGGAGTTGGGGGCGCAGCGTATATATGGCCTGGGCTGTGGCAACGCGGGGCAAAATATTGAGGAAGACTTTGATGAGTGGCATCGTGACTTGTGGCCGGCGGTGAGTCGCGTGCTCGGCATTGAGTTGCGTCAACACGCGGAGGAGCCGATGGAGCCGGCGTGCCGCATGAAAGTGTGGGAGCCATCCGAGGAGGCGTCCCTCCCGTTCCCAAAACTTGCTTCCGTATTGGAGCCAACCCAACGCCTTCCGGCGTGGGCGCCGT